CAGTTTGGCTCAGTGGATAGAGCGTCGGCCTGCGGACTGAAGGGTCCCAGGTTTGATTCCGGTCAAGGGCATGTACCTTGGTTGCGGGCACATCCCCAGTAGGGGGTGTGCAGGAGGCAGCTGATCGATGTTTCTCTCTCATCGATGTTTCTAACTCTCTATCCCTCTCCCTTCCTCTCTGTAAAAAATCAATAAAATATATTAAAAAGAAAAAAAAGAAAAGAAAACCCAAACCAGCTGCTGTGGACTAGCCTTCCCGGGTCCTCCCCATTACTGAGCAGCCCAGGGAAGGGCCCTGGAGTCTGGGGTTGTAGGAAGTGGCCGGGTGATTCCTGGGATCCAGGTTACCGGGGAACCCGGCGTGGAGAGAAGAAATCACACAGGCCCTGGCTGGGTGCTCAGTTGGTTAGAGCGTCGTCCCGGTACGCCAAGGTTGCGGGTTTGATCCTCGAGCCCATGTAAGAATCAACCAATGAACGCATAAATAAGTGGAACAACAAATCGATGTCTCTCTCAAATCAATAAATTAAAAAAATATAAATATATATTTTTAAAAAAGAACCGGGCGCTTGGCGGCGCCCCACGCCTCTTCGTGTGGCTGTGGACGCTGCAGAAGGTTTCTCCCAGGTGACCCCGAAGCGTGGCCCCGGCTGAGTTTTGGGGTTTAGGAACCTCTCTGTTAACGCGCCGGTGGCAGCTCCCCCTTCCACTGCCTGGCCTTTGCCTTTACCTGAGCGGGTCTCCCACCTCCTCCTCTGACCCAACAGACCCTCTGCTCCCCAAACTCCCCGTTCGAACACCCCGTCTTCTCTGTTTCCCACGCGCCCGGCGGGGAGGGCTCGGGCACTGTCTGTGTTTAATCAGAGTCCAGAAGGGCCAAAGAGGCCTCGTGGGCCAGCTCGAAGCGGCGCCCTCACCCCACTGTCTGGCCTGGGCAGGCCGCTTGGTGGGAGTCCTGGGAGACTGGTGACGGGGAGGCGGCCAGGGGCCAGAACCAAGGGGAGGCCTCGGAAGGTGGTGAACAGATCAAGTTCAGTTACATAAATTTTGAGTCACACCCTCGTTCAGTTAGCTGTTAATTTCCTATAAAAAAGTGGGTGGAGGTGCCCATTTGCCGCCCGGAGCTGGCCCTCCCAAGATCAAAATGAGGAAGAGGACGGCGAGGGGAACCCCACCAGGGAAGCGGGGGCCAGCCAGTTTGGCAGGGACCCTAATCCTTGAGGGTTGGACTTGGTTTCCCTTCCTGTCGCCCAGGACCTCTGGAACCCCTGATGCTGCCCTCCAGGGTCTGGGGGTGTCCGGGGCGAGCAGGGCGCCCATGGATGGCCGCCCTGAAGCAGCTCTGTGCCAGCGGCGGGCGGGGGGAGGGGGGAGGCAGAAGGAGGCCGGCCGTGGGCGTGTCCCGCTCCGATACCTGGCAGGTGTGAGTGGTGCTGACCAGACACCTGTGACTCCTGCTTCCTAGGTGGCTCGAGGCAGCCGGGATGTCAGCTCTTCCCAAGAACCCTGCTTCCCGCTGAGAAACATGATCAGCAAGTCCCGTGAGTGTTGTCCCAGAGCTCCCCACCCTGAAACGCGGGCCCCCACCCCCAGAAGCAGTCTCGGGTAGCATCCTGGGACCCCGGGGGTCGGGAGGGACAGACAGGGAGCTAGGGGCCCCTCTCTTCTTCTTGAAGGACTTTGGAAACGCTCAGGTCCAAGCCCCGGGCTGGAAAGCAAGGGCCAGGCTCGGGTTGGCTTGCGTTGGGGGTTGCAGGGGCCCCAAATGGGGCAGGTGAGAGGGTGGACTAGGACGGTGCCCGCCTGTTTCTGCCTCCAGCCCCTCTGTGCCTGTGCCCCGCAGGCTGCAAGCTCCTGGCCATGCTGGCACTGGTCCTGGTCATCATGGTGTTGTACTCCATCTCCCGGGAAGACAGGTACATTGAGCTGTGAGTCCAGCTTCCCTGGCCTTCCGCCGGTTCATCTCAGGAGCAGGGCTTGGGACGGAGCGTCATAGGGAGGGGACAGAGTGGGCAGGAGGGCTCAGGGCCTGAGTGTGACCTCTCCCTCAAACTCAGCATGAAATTCTCCCGGGAGGGTGACATTCTTAGGGGGTGGGTTTGGGGGGGTCGGGTCTGGGATGACTCCCCCAGGCCCTCGGCCAGGGTGTTCAGGACAAGGAAGAGCTGCATCCTCAATGGTTTGTTTTCAAAATGGAACTTGGGTTGAGATGATCCCCACCCTGTAAGCCGCTGTCCAGGGCCTGGGACCATATGCGTGGGAGATGGTGGAGGCTGGGCCCCTGGTCTGACCGGAGCTCCTGCCTCTTCTTCTTTCCATCCCCAGTTTTTATTTTCCAATCCCTGAGAAGGAGGAGCCGTGCCTGCAGGGTGAGGCAGAGAGGAAGGCCTCTAAGCTCTTTGGCAAGTGAGTACTTGAGGGTGCAGTGGGTGGGGCAGGGCCTGGGGTGGGCTGGGATTGAGTGTCTCCAAGTGGGGAGTCCTCCCAGCGAGCCGGGCGGAGGGACTGTGTTGGTGGACACGGGTTAGGGGAGATCCGTGATGACGGAGAGCCCTTGGACATGCATGTGGACTATCAACCAGGGGCCTGACCCCGTTTCTGGCGCCGGTATTAATCCCTTCCGCATTCCCGCCCTGTGCTCACCTCCGTGCAGCTACTCTCGGGATCAGCCCATCTTCCTGCGGCTAAAGGATTATTTCTGGGTGAAGACGCCCTCTGCCTACGAGCTGCCCTACGGGACCAAGGGGAGTGGTAAGTTCTGCCCGGTGTTGTCAAAACAGTGGGCTTGTCTCGACCACACTCTTCTTTAAAAAAAAAATAAATAATTTATATATATATACTAGAGGCCCAGCGTGCGAAATCATGTGGCCCCACCCACCCGCCTGCCCGCTGGCCGCCAGCTTTGCTGCAATCAGAGCCTGTGGGCCGTGGGGAAGGGACCAAGAGGTGCTCTGTGCACTTCATGGTGACTGGTCATTTGGTCATTTAGGTTGTGACGCCTCTGGCCTTTTATTATTATGATACATACACATACATATATATATACTAGAGGCCTGTTGCATGAAGAGATTCGTGCAATAGGCCTTCCCTTCCCTTGGCTGCTGGCACCAGTTTTCCTCTGGCACCCGGGACACAGGCCTTCACTCTGGTTGGGCTCCGGCCAGACCCCTCCCCCCCCCTCCCCCCCCAGCCATCAGGCCTCGCGGCTCCACCCATCCTGGGGCCGTGAGGCCTTGCGGCTCAGCAGGCTTCGGGGCTGTTTGGCTTCGCTGCACCGTTTGGAGCCTACCTATGCAAATTAACCGCCATCTTTGTTGATGGTTAATTTGCATATTGCCCTGATTAGCTGATGGGAAGCGTAGCGAAGGCACGGTCAATTACCCTTTTTGTCTTTTATTAGATAGGAATCTATTGATTTTAGAGAGGAAGGGAGCGGGAGAGAGAGATAGAAACATCAATGATGAGAGAGAGAACCATTGATTGGCTGCCTCCTGCACGCCCCTTACTGGGGATGGAGCCCGCAACCCGGGCATGTGCCCTGACTGGGAATCGAACCGTGACCTCCTGGTTCATAGGTCAACGCTCCACCACTGAACCACACTGGCCGGGCGGCCACACGCTTCTTCGTGTTCGCCACCCGCAGTCCCAGGGGCAGGGGCAGAGCAGGCAGGCAAAGCTCTGAGGGGTGGAGGCGGGGAGAACGCAGCCTTCGCGAGGCTGGCTCCTGTCCTCAGCCCCTTCCATCGGTTCCTTTTGCAGAAGACCTGCTCCTCCGGGTCCTAGCCATCACCAGCTACTCCATTCCGGAAAACCTCCAGAGGTAAGGGGACTGCCCCCTGTTACTCGGGTCCGAGTGCCTCCCCCCCCCCCCCATGAAACAGCCAGGCCCAGCACCTCCCGTTGAGCCTTCCTGCCTCTGGTCCCCGGTGGCCAATTTGACCCATCTTCCCAGCCTGCCTGTCTCCAGGGAGGCAGGGACATCGGTCCCCACAGCAACTGAGCCTGAGCACCTGGAGCAGGCAGAGGCTGTTGCCATGGCAACCGGCAGGCCCGGGCAGTAGGCGCGGGGCCTCTGAAATGGGGTTTCTTATTGGTGCTCCTCGGTCGTCTGCGCGTCTCCCCTCCTCTCTTTTCCATCCTCTGCTCAGTTTCCTCTTTGGTAATAGAACCCGGGGCTCAGAGTCAGCAGGGACATCGGCAGGACTCCCTGCAGATGGCTGGTCCATGGGGCCCGGGGCCGAGGGGGCCCGGGGAAGGGTTCCGGGCCAGGCCAGGCAGACCCAGGGCGGGAGCAGCGCCTGCTTCTGTGTCTGAGCCCCCTCTGCCCCCCGCAGCCTCAAGTGCTGCCGCTGCGTGGTGGTGGGCAACGGGCACCGGCTACGCAACAGCTCGCTGGGAGAGGCCATCGACAAGTACGACATGGTCATCAGGTCTGTGCGCCCTCGCCGCCTTCTCGTGTTCGGGGACGGCTGTGGACAGGCCCCGCGGGGCCCTGCGTGATGGCGTCTTCCCCCCCCACCCCAGGTTAAACAACGCCCCCGTGGCTGGCTACGAGGGCGACGTGGGCTCCAAGACCACCATGCGCCTCTTCTACCCGGAGTCCGCCCACTTCAACCCCAAGGTGGAGAACAACCCCGACACACTCCTCGTCCTGGTCGCTTTCAAGGCGATGGACTTCCACTGGATCGAGACCATCCTGAGTGACAAGAAGCGGGTAGGTGGGGAGGCGTAGGGGCGGGGGCACGGAGCCAGGCCCTCCCGTTGTGCGGCGTCTGCTCTGCGGTCCTGGAGCTGGGGAGTGGGGGGAGGCGGGAACTCGGTCTCCGCAGCTTCTGATGGCCCTCTGGGCAGCCCGAGCCCGCGTGCCCGTGGGAGCCAGGTGGCAGCCAAGGACCCCCTGAGCTCGAGGCTGCAGGAGCTGGTCAGGAGTCATCTCCAGGCAGGGGCAGGTTAGGACAGTCGAGATCTGGCCCTTCCAGGCGAAACTTCCAGAAGGTCCACTGTGTCCCTTTGCCATCCAGTCACACACCCAGCTGTCCAGCCTGGCGTTTTTGCCAAGTGTTTACACAACCCCCAACTCGAACCCATCCAGCTATGGGAGATCCTTGGAAGCGGGAATGGCCGGACCTCGTACTCGACACACGGTCTCCTGGCCTCCCCTGGGGGTGCCCCCCCCCTCTCCCTGCCCCGCTGGTCTCCCTTCCTGTCTGTGGTGCGGGCCGGCACCTCCCTCTCCTCACCCTGGGGGTCTCTCCATCACATGGACCCCGCCCCCTGGCTGAGGACCACCGGGCTGGACTTGCAAACAGGTCTTCGCTCGCCCCCATCTCTTCCTTCCAACCTCACCCCCGCCCCCAGGTACGGAAAGGCTTCTGGAAACAGCCTCCCCTCATCTGGGACGTGAACCCCAAACAGATTCGGATTCTCAACCCCTTCTTCATGGAGATCGCAGCTGACAAACTGCTGAGCCTGCCAATGCAGCAGCCACGCAAGATTAAGCAGGTGAGGATGCGGCTGGGCACCCCGGGGGTGGGGTCACGGGTGGGAAGGAGAGGGGAGCGTGTTAGCAGAGATGGTAACTCCCATCGGAATAGCACCTGTGGCAGCCGGGACCCAGCCTGGGGGCACCCACCTGTAGTCGGGTTTATTAGCTCGCCCGCTGCAGCCAGGGAGCGCACAAGCTTGAGAACCGCGGGGCATCTCCGAGGTGGAGAGGTGTGGGAGGGTATTTACAGGCCCAGGGGCTGGAGTTGGAGGATGGTTTTGGCAGGCGTTGGCCAGAATCTGTGAACGGGTGCGTTACTGGGACAGTCGTCGTGTTCTCTTTAAACCAGTGGTTCTCAACCTTCCTCATGCCGCGACCCTTTAATACAGTTCCTCATGTTGTGGTGACCCCCAACCATAAAATTATTTTCGTTGCTACTTCATAACTGTAATGTTGCTACTGTTAGGAATCGTCATGTAAATATCTGATAGGCAGGATGTATTTCCATTGTTACAGATTGAACATAATTAAAGCATAGTGATTAATCACAGAAACAATATGTGATTATATATGTGTTTTCCGATGGTCTTAGGCGACCCCTGTGAAAAGGTCGTTCGACCCCCAAAGGGGTCGCGACCCACAGGTTGAGAACCGCTGCTTTAGAGCAAGTCAGGCCTGTGCAGTTGCTGTTACATCATCTTACCTGTGACCTCACACTTAGGTCTGAGTGAGTTCGGAATTGGAGCGTCCAGTTCGCCTTGCATATCATAGTCAAGTTTTGCAGTCATGATGCAGTTTTGCAAGGGCTGGTTGTAGCTCTCAGGGTCCTTAGTGGCCTTCGGCTGGTGGGCTTTAGCTTGTAGCTCCCCGAGTCTCACACTCGTGTCTTCTGAGCCCCCGAGAGGCTGCGTGGGCACGGGGACAGAGGTAACCAGCAGACACAGGCAGGACTCGCTGTGCCGCTTCCTGGGTGGCCTCGGGCAAGGCAACCCCTCGGAGCCTCTGATTTCTTATCTGTCTGGTGGGGGTCAAATCAGTGCCGACCTCCGAAGGCCATTGCAGGATCTCAAAAGATCATCTTGTCGCAGGCCCAGCACGGAGATTGGTACACAGTGGATGCTCAATGAGTATTGGCCACATTTTGAATGGATGGTGTTATTATTTACTGAGTATCGACCGTGATTCAGCTTCAGAAGTTGAATGCCTGCTTTTGTGCTTGCTCCGTGCCGGGCCCCAAGTCCGCACGTGGGGAGTAAGACACACTCCTCGGGCCAGCAGAGTACACATAGGTAGCAATGGGAGGAGCCAATGCCCTAGCTGAGTTGTTCCAAGTGCTGCAGGACCTCGGAGAAGGGGCAGCCCCCCCCCCCCGCCCGCCCCAGGAGGTGGTGCTGGATTGGCCCTTAAGGGCCCATCAGGCAGAGACCTGGGGAGAGGTAGGTCATTTGCCAATCAAAACACTCCTGGCACTGGGTTCTGTTGCAAGTAGAGTGGAGAGGTTTTATGCCCCGTAGGGGGCACGGAGCAGAAGTGAAGGCAAGAGAAAGGAAGGACCCAAACCAGCTCCTGTCATATGTAGGAAGAGGCCCAGAAGGGAAGGTCTTGATGGATATTCGTTTCCTGTCACTGCCTAACAAATGTCCACCGTTTAGCGGCTTAAAATAGCACCACGTATCTGTTCCTAGTCCCGGAGGTCAGAAGTCCAGCTCAGGGAGGCTGGGTTCTCTGCCTAGGGTAGGTATGTGGGTTCCTCCCGCCCCCCACCCCGTGTCCGAGAGTAGAGTGCTACCATTGATGTCTATGTCTCTATTTCTTTCACGATAATCAAAATACTTAACGAGGTCCAGTTTTACGCGAAGCTTAGCACCCTTACGAGCTCTCTTAGGCTGCGCTGATGCCGGAGGCCACATCTTGCTCACGATGCACAGAGCGGACCTAGATCGAGCCCAGATGCTCAGAGGCGGTTCAAAGCTCTGGCAGCTGGACGCTGGGTGTGGTTCTGGGGGAAGGAGCTTGGCGGGGCCACTCGCTGCAAAACAAATGCTGAAGGCTGGGTTTGCCCTTCGCCGTTTCTCATTAAAGCGAGAATCCGCTTCGAATGTCTCTTGGTTAGCGACCCCAGGTGCTGTGGTGGGACTTTTGTGAAAGCAAAGCGGCATAACATGAACTCTTGGAGAGCGGGGAATAGCTGTACAAGCCTGGAATCAAGTTGGCAGCTGGACTGAGTTCCTTCCTGTCTGGAGGCTGGAGGGTGAGGGAGAGTGTTTTTTTTAAGTATATTTTTATTGATTTCAGAGAGGAAGGGAGAGGGAGAGAGGGATAGAAACATCAATGATGAGAGAGAATCACTGATCGGCTGCCTCCTGAACACCCCACACTGGGGGATCGAGTCCACAGCCTGGGCACATGCCTTGACCAGGGATTGAACCCTGACCTCCTGGTTCTTAGGTCGATGCTAAACCACTGAGCCACACCAGCCGGGCCCAAGCTCATTCTCGTGGGAGGAATTCAGTTCCTGTAGTTGCAGGACCAACGTCCCATTCTCTTGCTGGGTCTCACCCAGGGCAGCGGGGAGCACCCTCAGCTCTTGGAGGCTGCCCGTATTCCTTGCCATGCGCCCCCTCCACCTTCAGACCACCCCCAGCATGGTCATTCTTCTTGTGCTTCCCATCGCTGACTCCCTCCCCTGCTCAGCTCTAGACCTGGATGTACAAGCTCATGAAATGCGGTCAAGCCCACCAGGATTATCGCTCTGACGGTCCACTGTGCCACCTAAAGCCAGAGACCAGTGATGGCGAACCTTTGGAGCTCGGCGTGTCAGCATTTTGAAAAACCCTAACTTAACTCGGGTGCCGTGTCACATCTAGAAATTTTTTGATCTTTGCAACCATAGTAAAACAAAGACTTATATTTTTGATATTTATATTACATATTTAAATGCCATTTAACAAAGAAAAATCAACCAAAAAAATGAGTTCGCGTGTCAGAGGTTCGCCATCACTGCCAGAGACCATACTGTCATAGATCTCATCCTAGCCATAGTTTCCACACACGCCCACGGGCGAGGGCCCCTGGGAGTGGTCTTCAAATTCTCCTGCGACAACGTGCGTTTTTCAGGTGAAATGGAGAGATCTGTGACAGTTCTAGGTTTCCAGCTTGGACAACGGGGTGGGCAGTCATAGGTGTAACTAATCTAGGGGACACAGCGGGGGAGGGAGCTTGGTGCGTTCAGGAGCCCTGTCTAGGCAGAGCTGGCCAGAAGGCGATGGGAATGTGGTTTGGCCAAGTTCTGCTCGGGAGGAGATAAGAGTGGTGGTTACAGCGCCGGGGGGGACGGGAGGCCCAGGCAGGAAGTGGCAGATGACACGACTGCCGACCGCCAAGCTCAGAAAGACTCTGGAAACCCCCGCTGCACGAGGCCTGGCCGGCTGACGTGGTCTGGAGGCCGAGCGAGGAAGGGAGATGGGTTAAGTTCGGGCACAGGCCGTCCCTCTCTGTGGAAGAACTGGGGATGGAGACCGGGAGGTCGTTAGAGCAGCCCTTAGGGTGGACGGGAAAGTCTGGCATCCCCAATTCACAGAGGGGGTGAGCCCACCTCATGAGGGCGCACGGTCTGTGAGCACAGAGGCCCCAGGTCTCCCAAAAGAAGTGAGGCCCTCCAAGGCCCAGAGCAGAACCTTTCTTTCCACTCCTTCAGGAGTCTTAAGCCTCGGTTTCCCCATCTGTACTAGGCAGTATGGTAGCTATGAGCCACATATGGCCATTTCAATTTCAGTTAAATGAAATGAAAAATTCAGCCCTGGCCGGTTTGGCTCAGTGGATAGAGGGTCGGCCTGCAGACTGAAGGGTCCCGGGTTGGATTCCAGTCCGGGCACATGCCCTGGTTGTGGGCTCGATCTCCAGTGTGGGGGGGGGGGGGCGGGGGGCGTGCAGGAGGCAGCCGATCAATGATTCTTTCTCATCATGGATGTTTCTATTTCTCTCTCCCTCTCCCTTCCTCTCTGAAATCAATAAAAATATATTGGAAAAAAAGAGATTAGCCTAGCTACACTAATAAAAGAGAAAGATGCAAATTGACTGTACCTTCACGACACCCACCAGCCAATCAAGAGTGAGTATGCAAATTAACCCAACAAAGATGGTGGATTAATTTGCATATGCAGGCGCCAAGCGGCTGGGGGTGGGGTGGGAAGGCAGAAAGGTGGCCTGCGAAGGCGGTACCGGCAGCCAGGGGAAGGAAGGCCCATTCTTGCACAAATCTTTGTGCATCGGGCCTCTAGTATTATATATATTTTTAAAAAAGAGAAATGAACAATTCAGTCCCTCGGTGCCATAAGCCCTGTTCACTCGCTCACTTGCCAGCTGTGCTGGTGGCACAGTTCTGTTGCAGAGGCCGCCCTAACGGTGCCCAAAGGGGCAGACCCCTCTAACACCCTCCCCACCCCTGCTCCTCAGAAGCCCACCACAGGCCTGCTGGCCATCACCCTGGCCCTCCACCTCTGCGACATGGTGCACATCGCCGGCTTTGGCTACCCGGACGCCCACAACAGGAAGCAGACCATTCACTACTACGAGCAGATTACGCTCAAGTCCATGGCGGTAAGTGGCCCCCGCCTGCCAGCTGGGAGGGGCAGACCAGCCTGGGACCCTGGGTGAGTGACCGGTGCCCAGGGCCCAGAGGTGGCTCCCGGTGGCGAGGTCCCTCAGAGTCAGAACCGGCACTGGACTCCCAGCCCAGTGTCCCCTGGATTTGGCCACCAAATTGCCTTGCTTCTCAGAGGCGGCACGGGGAAGGGAGCTCCCGGGGTGCGGGGCTGTGGGAGGGCCAGGAATGTCACCATCATCCCTCAGTTTGCTTCCTTGGCTGCCTCCGCAGGGCTCAGGCCACAACGTCTCCCAGGAGGCCCTGGCCATCAAACGGATGCTGGAAATCGGAGCAGTCAAGAACCTCACTTACTTCTGACTTGGGCAGGAGCTGCACCCATCGGTCTGCCCGCTCTGCTACCTGAGCAGCCCCCAGCCATAGCTGTGGGGGTGCCTGTGCTAGCATGGCCAGCTTGGACTCCCCCTCGCCTGTGTGTGGGGGGGGTCCCGGGACTGGCCAGGCCCAAGAGGAGGCCATGCCCAGCTGCTCTGTGGAGGCCAGCTCGCCAGGATGGAGGCCGGGGGCGGTGGGAGCCCAGCGGAGGAACGGGGCCCGCGGCTGCCTGTCCGCGCCGGGAGGTTATTTAATGGGCTATTTAATTAATGGGAAGAAAGTGCTGTGGGCTGGTCCCGTGGCATCCAGAAAAAGGGCATATACAGTGTCCGGACCATTTTTTATAAAAACACAAACAAGAGGGGCCCACTGAGGCCTAGACCCAGAGCAGGCCTCCCCGGAGGGGGGTTGTCTGGAGCGGGTGGGGGTCCTCCCGAGGGGGGCTGCTCCTCCCAGCGGGCGTGGGAAGAGCAGTGGTGGGGTGTTCCCTGGAGAAGGAACCTCATCTAGAAAAGAGGTACCAAACAAATTAAACTATTTTTCCTAAAACAAAGCAGTTGTGATACCCGGTGTCCTTTCAGATGAATGGCGGGGTGCGTGGGTGGGTGGTGGGCCGCAGCAGTGGGTCGCTCTCCGGCAGTGGGCAGGGTCATTAAAGACCTGTGGGACCCAGAGCAGGCCACGGTCACTCAGGAAATTCACTTTTGAGGCCAGTGCTTGGAGCCAAGTCATACATTGTCACAGGGGCGTAGGAGGCAAGCAGGTGGTGCCCAGAGCAGCCCTACCTGCCAGCCACCCCGCTGGCATCCTGCATCCTGGTTTACTTCCTAGAGGTAGGGAGGGGCAGGAGGATGCCCAATAGGAGGGGCAGGACCCTCTCCCACCTTCCTTCCTTTCTCTCACCAGCGTGTACTTTCAAAAGCCCCATGCGGGGCGATGTCTGAGGACAGGGGTGGAGTCAGACAGAGGAAGCCAAGTTTTCCTTCTCAGATTAACTGGGAATCATAAAACGGAGTTTACAGAAGGCCCTGCCAAGATCGGGATGGGCAGGGCCTGGGTAGCAGCTAAGGGATTTGGCAAGGCCTGCCAGCCAGTTGCCAGGCCCGGGGGGGAGGGGGGTGAAATGCTCCCTCCCTCCCCCTCCAGGTCTCTAGAATCATGATAGTCCTGCTATTTGTCCGTGTCTCCCCTCTGTGTTCTCCATCTTTCCAAGCCCTGCTGAGCTGCCAGCTGGGCTTCCTGCCACCCACAGCTGTTTCTTTACATCTGGAGCCAGGAGGGAGCGCTCGGACCCCCTTCCCCCTCCCACCCCCACTAGGGAATGGGGCTCACAGCTGTGTGCCTGGCTTTCTCGGAAAGAGTTGCAGCCTTGAGGCTTTGAGGCTGGGCTGGGACAGGACAGATAGAACAGGGCAGAGGTTGGGAGGATCAGAGGGAAGTGACACTTCTTGACAGGGTTGGCGTGGCCTGGGGAACACCCACAGAACGGTCCCGAGGACCCTGCCGGGGATGGAACGTGGCAGAAAGACTTGCTAGCTGCTCTCCCTCCAGGGGAGAGGGGGGAGTTCTGAAAGCAAATAGGGCCCCGCATCTGCAGCCGCACAAGGGCTTTTGCTGCGGGGGGGGGGGGGGGGGAATGTGGAAGAGTGTGGAGGGTGTCCTCTTGCTGAAGAGTGTGAGCACGGGGACAGAGACCTCAGCTCTTCTCCCCGATGCTTCCCCAGCTGCTGCTCATGAGGGGATGCAAAGGAGTATCGATTTCCCCATCCAGGGCCATTGAAAGTGTCTGTCAGCACATATGATCCAGCTGTCCTAGACTGGGGTCACTACTCGTCACTGAACACGCCTAAACTTCAGCCAGAATCCACTACACATGGATGGTCAGACTCCCCAGATGCGCGAGCGCGCGCACACACACACACACACACACACACACACACACGCCTGTAGACACGGGAGCATTTCACATTCTTGTTGGGTTATGCTTGTGAGGGCATACACATTCCTTCATGACTGCATACAGACAAGAGTATGTGCGGGGATGGGGTGTTCCCTCGGGGTGTGGGCTCAGCTTTTTCCCGGGTGCAGACTGAGGCAGCGCTGGCCACGATCGGGGCTGAGCGCGGAGCTCTGATGTGGCCTGGTTGGGTGGGGTTCCTTGGTCCTGAGAAAGGGACTAGCCCAGCGATGTGTGATATGCCTGCCAGCCTGCCTGGGACTGATTAAGCCGAGTGGGCAGGAAGGCAACAGGAGGGGCCGCAACCGAGTGCAAGTCCACAGTCCGGGTTCCACACCCGCTCTCCACTTCGTTCTGTAGGATCGAGCATTTCTCCGCCTCTAGGCTCCCAATTCCTACGTTTCTTGAAATCGGAGGGTGGGTCCAGCCAATGAGCGCCACTTAACAGCAGTATTATCTGGAGGCGATTTAAGAAAGCAGGTTTTTGGGTCTTCCCCAGGGCGCTGGGGCGCAGGAATCTGGGATTTTAATGAGCACTCAGAACCGCTGCTCTAGCAGTCTAGACTCCAGGATGACCTCATGCGTCTCTCGACTTCACGACTTCACCGTCTACGAGCAAAGCCCTTCCTAATCCCCCGCATCCTGGAGCTGCATTAACCAGGCGCACGCGCAGGAGGAGCAGCCGGCACAGCTGGCCCCGCCCCCAGGCGCGGAGGGGGCGCGGAGGGCGCGGTGGGGCGCGGAGGGGCGCGGAGGGGCGCGGAGGGGCGCGGAGGGGCGCGGAGGGGCGCGGAGGGGCGCGGAGGGGCGGGTGCGCTGTCGGGTGGGCGCGGGCCGGCCTGTGGCCGTGGGAACCTGGCAGCGATGGTCACTGCTGAGCGAGGCCTGTGGGGCTCGGCCGGGGCGGAGCCTGCCCGGCTGCGTGTCCGGTGGGGACCCCCCCTGGGGGCCTGGAGACCAGACCTGGACGCGGGGAGTGACAGAGACCTGCCGGCCAGTGTAGACCCCACAAGCCCTGCCCTGCACAGAGGCCTGGGAGGGGAAGGGACCCCCAGCTCAGCCAGAACTCGGCAAAGAGCTGGGCTTTGACCCAGCGCACGAACACATGGGAAGACTTTGTATTCGCATCCAATGGTGTGCCTGCCTTTTGGACACTTCAGGTTTTTATTGACACGTTATATATATATATCTTTATTGATTTTTTACAGAGAGGAAGAGAGAGGGATAGAGTTAGAAACATTGATGAGAAAGAAACATCGATCAGCTGCCTCCTGCACACCTCCTACTGGGGATGTGCCCACAACCAAGGTACATGCCCTTGACCAGAATTGAACCTGGGACCTTCCAGTCCGCAGGCTGACGCTCTATCCACTGAGCCAAACCAGTTAGGGCTTATTGACACTTTCTAAGGACATAAGTACCGCCCCCCCCCCCCCCCCCCCCGCGGTGGGGGGGAGGGACTAGTCAAGGAAAAGGGTGAGCTTGGAGCAGGTCAGTGAGGCGGGAGAAGGTGGGATGCCCACAACCGCTGCAGACGGTGGGATGCCACGTGGGTGCGACTCCCCGCTGTCCTGCCATCAGCCCAGTGGGCCTCTGCCCCTCCAGCTGCCAGTGATGGCGCATGCGTGAGGTCTCAAGGGTCTAATGGGCGCACTGTGTAGACTGTGGAGTATGATATCAATAGTAGATTGGAAAGCTGCCTTGCATCATGGAAAATACCAGAAAGGGAACGGATCAGGTGAGGGACAGCTGGAGGGCCAACTAGTTGCCCGGTGCAGAGTAACCTTTTCTGCTGACCGAAAAGGCTTTGTCACCCACAAGCAAAGGAAGGGTAAGACATCAGCGAAATGACTCAGATGCAGGCTTTGCATAACCAAACAATGAGCAGCCCGAGGTCAGACTGCTCTCTGGGAGTGATTTTCAGTGTTGAAGGCAGACGCCTTTCTTCGGGGTTTGGGGAGACGTCATCCATTTCGATGGCACGCGGCCTACGTACCACACACAGGAGGTTCCGAAATGGAGGGTAAGGAGATGATCCCAGTCGGTTGGATGTCTAAACCTTCTGATCTTTTCTGACGTCTTAACCACAGCTCCAGAAAGCTCTGTGCTAGTTTTGAGCATTCCCATGATTCCGTACCAGACATGGTTCCAGGGAAATTCTTCCAACTTAGAAGTTTAAGGGAGGAGGGGTGTGTGTGTGTGTGTGTGTGTGTGTGTGTGTGTGTGTGTAGTTACAGCCTGTTTGCCATTCCCGTTCTTTCTCAACGAGTTTACTTCCCTTGTTAGAGGTCTTGGGGATTCTGCACCCAGGAAATGAGACAGGGAGGCGACCCTTGAGTCTCAGATGTCAGATATGGGAGGAGCCCAAATGTATTGGAAGGCTCCGCTCCTTCAGGTAAGGGGGTACACAGGACTGGGATTGGTTGGGGGAGATCACGGTCCTGTCTGTGAGGGTGAGCACAGAGGATTTGACCAAAGTTTCTAGGGAAAAATGAACTTTGGAAGGCAGATTTCAGGTTCCCAGGGAAAATCAACATTTTCAAGGACACCTATCCCTCAACAGAGGCATGGCTTCCTCTCAGGAATCTTACAAGACTCGGAGGGTGGGGCTGGGTGGAGGGAATGAGAGAAGGCTCAGATGTTGAAATCACACTAGGGGATTGAAGCTGGAATTACTGAACTAAGCTATTCCAGAACCATCTATTATTCCGAGGCTCCCTAAAACACTGTTTACATAATCACCAATTTTAACGCTTAAAGGGTACCTTCTCCTGCTTGAAAATGTGTTTCTGTCTTGAGGGGAAGAAATCACAAGAGTGGAAATTAGCGGCTAGTAGGGAGACTCTTGCTACGAAGGGTGAGGAGACAAACCCTCTGACCTTTCTGGATGTCTTAGCCATAACTTCAGAAAGCGATCTGTTCTCATTTTCTGTGGGCTGTGTTCCACCGGTGTCGCCTGCGTGGCAGGAGAGCTAGAGCAACTTTCGGTGAAAAGCCAAATAGAGATTCTTATCTAAAGACTCTTCTATGGAAGCCCTGAATCCATATGCATCTCACTTTACGTCTACTGCCTTCTTTCCTCAGCATTTCTCCCAAGTTCACTACTGTCACAAGTGTATTTCTAGTCCGTGGGCCATTTTCATTTTCCTACAAGGCAGGCAAAGGCGGTATCTTTAACGTCGTCCACCTGAACCTGACTTTGGAGTGACCTGAACCTGACTTTGGGGTGACCTTCAGGGGGAGACGCCCTGTATTCAGGTCCTATCCCAAGCACCGCCTCTCGTCTCGCATCACTAGGAGCAGATGTCACAGGAGCTTCACTTTCTAAGACCCCAGTCCCCCCAAGTCCTGTTTCCTGAGACGTCGCCAACCTCGTCTTTGAATCCAGAACTTTAGATTCACCACAAGAAAGACAGCTCTAAAGGGCACTCTTGAGTATTCTCATGGCAATCGGAGACTCTTCCCAGGGCCACGAGGTTAAGAAGCAGCCAAAGGAGATAGATGCCTTTGCATGGCTGACCTCCCCGGTCTGTGGGGGGTGGCCCAGGGGTTGAGGAGGCCCGGCCCTGTGGGGAGGCTCAGTGGACTGTTCCAGA